GAGTATGAAGATTTCTGTCTTCTGGGTTGTTGCGCTGTGTAGTCTGGTCGATGTTAACCAACGTTTCAGAGGTCATACTGCCTCCGTCATCAGGGCGATGAGTATGAAGATTTCTGTCTTCTGGGTTGTTGCGCTGTGTGATCTGGTCGATGTTAACCAACGTTTCAGAGGTCATACTGCCTCCGTCATCAGGGCGATGAATCGCTCACCGCTGTGAAAACCTCAAATCTTACACGTTATAAGGATGACTGTCTTCTGAAGTGTTGCACTGTGTAGTCTGGTAGAAGCTTATCGCCATGATGATGGAAGCAAAAATCACCTCTGAAACGCCGATAAACGTTTACCGGACCACAAGGCGCAACACTCCAGAAGACAGGCATTCTAATAATATCTGGTCAAGAGTAAAGATTTATGACTTTCCTCATTGTGTAATTTTTGACATTGCCCTGTCATTTCCTTCTGCCAGATACAAATATTCTCCTCAGCGTCGTACACCACAGAAGGCTTGTTAATTCCAAAGGCTAGTTGTGCGCTTTCAGAAATTATCACTGGTTTTCAGACGTTCTGAGCTCGAAAGTTATGATTTGCTAAGAATTGCAAATGAAGTTTGCTCTTGTAGCTGTCTTTTGGTTCAACTCCGATACTGAAATGCCGACCCAATTTGTAACTTTCTAAAACTGAATATAAACAGACCAAAGCTAAAAATTTCCATAAATACATGTTAATAACATAAATCATCTTTACTTTTATCTCGTTCGGTTAGGAAGAACTGTGACTACAATTTCTACGTCGAACTTTTAATCGATTACTATTAAGATTTGTCGTTTTAGGTCACACATTCGTCGCCATTAATAAAATAAAATACAAACTTCCAAATAAAATGAAGTCCAAAGCAAACTAACATCACTGTTGGGTACATAATGCGTCTGTAAGAACAGGAAACTGATTTTGCATATCACACGATATTTTGCGCTATGTATGTGCGAATTTCGTTTGTATAACATAAATAATAATATTTTTTAATATCACAATTCGGATTGCAGGGAATAAACAGTGTAATCTTCACGAAATGCACAGTGTCGAAAAATATGTATGCTGCTGAAACTACTTTAAAATTCAAAATTAATTTGAAGCTACTTTAAATAAATATGAATATGTATACGTCTGAATAAAGTGAATACAGCAACTGCATATTCCACATAAGTACGTACGTTTATTACAATGCATTCATTTATACATAGACCTAAGACTGTGATCGCTTAACAATGGTCTCTTGCTTTCCATGGTTTTTCTACATTCATATCCCTTATCGACATTTTCATAGTTTATATTTAATATTTACATCTATAATTCTCTTCCTCACCCCCAGTTTTTAATTATATCACGCCAAATTTATGTTCCTATTTCCATTCACTTTTAAGCAGCATTCATTTAAATCAGCTACCACAGATCAGTTCTTTAATCTCTTTATATTAACCCCTTTGTTACATTTGTATTTCTCTCTCCGTTATTAATTTATTTAAAGTTTAATAATATATATTTATCATCTTTCTTCTCCTTCAGACATAAGGGTCATTTTCCTATCTCAGCCCCCATCTTAATCCCTCACATTTCACATTACTATTTCATCGACAATGCGCCTAAAAGATGATTCCAGAATGTTACTGCGTAGCTGTGAGGTTAGGTTCTGGCTGGCATGCAGGTAGCATGAATGTGCCTTGTGGCTACAGCAGTAAACAAAGACCCACATTCAGATCCTCGTCAGTGTTCAGTGAAGGATACATATGATGAGCAAAGTCTCCTTCGTCCTTCATGTGTTTTGGTAACAGTGCGTGACACCTTATCACTAATGATCAGAGGATCAATTATACTCAGCTGTGAAAGTTTCATAAATTGAATCTATTTACATATAAATGAAACTGTTGTTGTCATGAATGTCAGGTCTTAAATATATGCTCACTGTTCGTGGTCTTAGCATGTATTCTGCCCAGTTTTGATAAGAAAATATTGGTATAAATAAAATAGGAAATGAATTGCACAAAATAGTTATGGTAGTACATAAGTGACGTCTTAGAATAGAACATTAATATGTATGTTCAATATCCCTCGTATTTGTGATAACATATTACACATCATTAAACGGTGATTCATTGTTTCTTAAAGCTACTTAACGTAAGCTACTTAAACGCAGAACTTAACTAGATTATGCTTAGTACTCAGTGGAGCTAACAAGTGAAAAAATTATGTATTTTCCTTTCTGTTAGAGGAAGTATAAATACGTAAGCCAATTGCTACCTAATTTCAGAAGTAAATCTTGATATTTTACGCTTTACGAAACGTAATAGAATATACTAGCCTATATTTAAAGATAATTAAACGAATAAAATTATTATAATTTTATTTATAAAAATTCTCATTACCATCTGTTCACATTAACTGCAGATACTCAGTGAGAATGTCACAACAAACTACTTAGACTGGATATACGTCACGCAGATGATGATTTTAATTTGTAAATTTTCGCTTCGATAGAAATTCATTGGGCCGAACATCTGCCCTACGGTTCCCTTGAGAATAAATGAAAACAACCAAAATATTTGTTTTGTCAGACAGATTGTTTTGAACATAAAGCAGCAACTTGATGTGAGCAAATAGCCATGGGCAAGAACAAATTTTTATCCGTACGATGAAAGTAATCACTCTGGCAAAGCTCTGGTGGGTTCACTGATCAATTCTTGAATGAATTACTTTTTTTAACTATACGATGCGAAGAGTAGGGTGATGAGGTGGAAAATACTAGGAAGGAAGAGATTATGCCAATTTTATTGTTTTGCACCAGAAGTACCCTCAAAGGACTTGCCCTCACATGCACGGGGGAACGTTTTACATTCATCCGTTACCAGACAATTTACAGATCCACACAAAAATTAAGCTATCGCTAACATCAACATTTCAGTAATTCGGTCGTGCGAACACCATATCGTGTGTACGTACGAATCTGTTGCCATTTTCGTTAGCAACTTTTGGCGGCCTGCAGACTGACTGGCGGAGGATTGGAACCACTTCAGAAGTACAATCTGCCCTCAAAGGTTTCAAGGAAGTTTAGTATGATAAAAAGATGGCAGATGTCCGGATTTTCCTTGAAACACATTGGAAGAAATTTTCAAACAAACTAACATCAGCTTCCATCTTCCTTGAAAGCGATCAAAACTACATTCAACACCAGCATAAAATCTCTAGGTACAGTCCCAGCCTCTCCTACTTAAATCCAGTTTTAGTCTACTACAAAAATAAGATATATAAAACTATAATTTTATCTGTTTTTTCATATAGATGTGAAGCTTGGTCTCTCGCATTACGGAAATAATATACATTTAAGGTTTTTTAAAAGTGTTTTCAGAAAATGTTCGGTTCTAAGTGGTAGGTAGTCAGGGGAAAGAAGAATAATGGATAATTTGAAAATGTGTACACATCACGATATATTATTAATAATAGGGTTAAGTCAAGAAGCTAGAGATCGGCGGGTAATGTAACATACGTAAATAAGAGATATAAAATATAAGCAGAATTTAGGTCCGAAAACTGAAAATTAGGTTGAAATTAATGTAATAAGGACTATGAAGATGAATATTAAATATACTGGAACAGCAGGGACACCAGGAACTCCTGGAACACCAGGGACACCAGGAACTCCGGGTTCCCCAGGCTCTGGAGGTTATCCAGGATCAGGCGGACAGCCAGGACAACCAGGTAGTGGAGGATATCCAGGTTCTCCCGGATCTCCGGGATCGCCAGGAACTCCTGGAACAGCAGGGACACCAGGAACTCCTGGAACACCAGGGACACCAGGAACTCCGGGTTCCCCAGGCTCTGGAGGTTATCCAGGATCAGGCGGACAGCCAGGACAACCAGGTAGTGGAGGATATCCAGGCTCTCCCGGATCGCCAGGAACTCCTGGAACACCAGGAACTCCGGGTTACCCAGGCTCTGGAGGTTATCCAGGATCAGGCGGACAGCCAGGACAACCAGGTAGTGGAGGATATCCAGGCTCTCCCGGATCACCAGGAACTCCTGGAACCCCGGGTTACCCAGGCTCTGGAGGCTATCCAGGATCAGGTGGACAGCCAGGAAAACCAGGAAGTGGGGGTTACCCCGTTGGACCCGGATCACCGGGAACACCAGGTAAGCTATTTGTCTATTATTCGACCTTTAACAATCGGCAATGATCACCGCAAAGTGAAATGTTATGTGTCACCACAGACATTACTTTTGCCAAGCAAATGTAACAAGACAAAATAATCAATTCTGTTGCGTGCGCGCGTGGTCGAGCAAACAGAGAATAAACGTCCGAAACATTTTAATGACCCGTAAAAATAAAGACTAATAAACGAAGTCAGCATGTCCGTTTCGATACAAAGATAATTTAAAAGTGTTTTCAGAAAATGTTCGGTTCTAAGTGGTAGGTAGTCAGGGGAAAGAAGAATAATGGATAATTTGAAAATGTGTACACATCACGATATATTATTAATAATAGGGTTAAGTCAAGAAGCTAGAGATCGGCGGGTAATGTAACATACGTAAATAAGAGATATAAAATATAAGCAGAATTTAGGTCCGAAAACTGAAAATTAGGTTGAAATTAATGTAATAAGGACTATGAAGATGAATATTAAATATAGAGGATACCAGGTTGTCGATTGCATGTATGTATGTGTATATATATATATATATATATATATATATATATATATATATATATATATATATATATATATATATATATATATATATATATATATATATATATATATATATATATATATATATATATATATATATATATATATATATATATATATATATATATATATATATATATATATATATATATATATATATATATATATATATATATATATATATATATATATATATATATATATATATATAGCTCAAGACAGACATCTTTGCGTAAACTGAAATGAATTTTCGGATTCCATAATAGGCGAGGAATTTCTCGAACGTCTGAGCGAATACTAGCTTCTTAAGAAAGGCTCTGCTCTGCGTATTTAATTATTCATTCTTCTTTCTGCATTATTTCCTTGCCGACTTTAGCTCAACATTGTTTTGCATCAAATATCTCCTTAAATGTGAGGTAAATAGGTCCATATGGGCTGGCTTAAAAATCAAACCACCATTTTTAATAACGTAATTTACCTTTAATGATTGAAGCTAAATTTGATTGGAAATATTTGAAATGATTTGTTGATCTATCAGATGATTTTCTGGCGCAGGAACAAACTCCTCTATGCCTATGTACATCCACAGCAAAGGCAAAATCTAACTATCAGTTCTGCCCCGGTAATAATCATGCTATTATATCAATTGTTTCTTTCTAGAACTTTCCGAGTTGTCTGCTCCTGGAAACAAACTGGATCTAATCCGACACTATGATTAATGTCACATATCTATGAATTGGTTAACATAATTTAACGTTATTACATGTGAATAAGAAACAGCCCTGTAAATTATTACTCTCCTTCAGAACTTCTGTCTCTAACATTGAGGGTCCAGACATTTCGTATTTCCAAGAAACAGCAAGTTTCTTGAATGAGGAGGATGTGTACGTCTATGGTTTAATGCTTCACATTCATACTAATAACCTTTATCTTATGGGGTGCGTCACGGAACTGCTTTGAGATGTCTGAACAACGGGGCAGAAACATCGTGGGTGAAGGAGGTGGGTTCAACAGACAATACCGTCTTCAGATCATTTGCTCCTTCTGAAATAACAACTGTAACGGTAATTACAGAACAAGTTCAACACTACAGTGCTACGTGATCTGTACATCGCTGTTCGTTTGCAGAGTCTTAACTCGTTTTGCTGATGAAATTACTGAATAAATGTAAAGTTGAGTACAGTAAATTATATCTGACAAATTTCACACACAATAGAGGTTCTTAGGCATTAAGATGACCATTTTGTGGGATGTTGTACCGTGTATCCTGGTAGTATTTAATTGACCGAAATTTCAGAGGTGCTTACTGCCTTCATCGTCAGCGGAATCAGGAAGTCGGGTCAATTTCTGTCAGAAAATACGGTGCAACATCGCAGAAGACAATCGCCATCACGTGCATCATCGTGAGAACAATATATCTAACTATTCTGCAGGAAATTCTATCTTGGAAAAACAGGATAATTTAGGATATAACTTACAAAATATAATTCAATGGTCCTTACATATAGAAAGGCTGTACAAAAACTGTTTACAAAAAAAGATATTGCAAGATCAGTCGCAAGACAAAAGAATATATGGCTAAACAAATTTTGGAGCCGAAACGAGCTTAAACGTAATTCATGAAGATTGTGATGATTTAATAAATGAACAAAAGGATTAGAAGAGTAAGTATTGCGCAGACAGAATATTAATATCATGCTAATAAGTTTAACCCTTTGAAACATGAAGCACATCTAATTGATGTTTAAACATCCGGGTTCTGTCTCAAAGAAAACATAGCGCGTTACAATTACAAAGATAAATTAGTTAAAGTAATTTGGGGATATAGTCGCTGTTTATTCTGAGAATTATGCAAAATACGTAAATATTTATACTGTGTGTAAAATTCAGTTACTGAATGTTAAACCTGACGATAATTTTTGTGGACATCGTATTAAGAACATATTTGTACTCAAATATAATTAACACCACAGCGAGTTCCGTACTATAGAAAGCATTATTGTTTCGTTTTGTTTTTACTGGCAAAAAGCTGGTGTCAAGATTCCAGACAAGGTATTTGTTGTAGACAACTGCAGTTGCCTCTGCTCGGTTCCATTCGTAAAACAAAATGTTGGCACACATTGTCACACAATTGGAACAGAGTTTATTGATTTCACGCAAAAATTTCCTCGGGCAAAATAATATTCCTTTCGAGTAAGAGTGATATACGAGGTGCGATCGGAAAGTTTCAAGACTGTGTCAATAGAGGGCGAACCGGATGTAGTACGAGCTTCTGCCGCTAGGGGTGCGGCCTACATTCATAGTGAATCAGTGTGCCAGCCGGCATCATCGAATTAGCATTTGTTTCTTAGTTACGGGCGTTTTGGTAGTGCATTACACCGACCCTCCTGCGATTTCGGAATGGCGTGTGCATCAAATTTTGCCAAAGACTCGCCAAAACGGCTAGGCTATGGGACCTGTCAGCTGATTCTAAACGAAGAACTCCCCATGCGACGCATCATGACAACGCGCCAGCGCACACCGCCCTCAAAGTTCGGCAGTTTTTGGCCTCAAACACTATGGCCGTCATCCCGCACCCTCCTTATTCGTCGGATTTAGCTCCGTGTGACTTCTTCCTCTTCCCACAGATGACAATTCAGCTAAAGGGAAGGAGATTTGAGACGATAGAAGAGCTTCAGGCAGAATCGCAGATGGTGCTTGACAGGCTGACAAAGAAAGATTTCCAGGGATGCTTCCAGGCTTGGCAGCGGCGCTGGGATCGTTGTGTTCACTCCCAGGGGAACTACTTCGAGGGTGATGGATGAATTTAATACCTGAAATAAGTGTACGGGTTTTTATACGCGCAGTCTTGAAACCTTTCGATCGCACCTCGTATGTCCACAGTTCTTTTGACCCGTGGCTACCAACGTAACAAACTGTTAAAGCACCGCCCGTGTCGTGTCATAAAGAACACCCCTGGAATGTCAGTATACTCCGAAGAGTACAGCCTTGTTCACTCGTAACTACTAAACATCGTCGAAGTAAAACAGACAATTATCCAATTCCGACGATACCACGTCACAAATCTTGCATGTTCCAGGATAGTAATAACAGACGAGATTTCGCCGTCCATTACTAAGAGATTTACTTACATTCCATCAAATCTTTGCTCTCATTTTCTTTGTCACTTGATAAGTTCATGGGGCAGACTACGGCCCGCCTCACACTCACTTCTGTCTAACCTATCAGCTCCTATCACAATTTGCCGACATGAACCCAGTCGAAAATAAATGAAAACCGTAAAATAATATTGGTTACGTCTCTCTATACGAATCAGAGATAGCCAGAAAAGAGTTATTGGTTTCATATCCGCCGGACGACAGAGTCACGGGCGATGTTTGACGAAGCACTAATAGGTTACAATCTTGAGGTCTTGACAGATCAATTTTTTGGCCATAAGAAGAATTAAGATTACGCGTAGAAGAACCTCATCTTTTCTCGAGTATATCGTTTACTAACTTATTTAATCATCTCTAAACTTAAAGGATGCAATGGGCTGGCCATGTAGCATGGTAGAGCTGAGAATGCGAACAAAATGTTGTTCTGAAAGGAACAGACCGCTAGGCAGAGCCATTTTTTAACACATTCTTAGAAAATACATTTGGATAACCGCATTATATCCTATTTTGTTTAACTGATGCCATAAATAACGTTCAAACCAATCTCGTCTATTTGTTATTTAATCTATAGGCACTAATACGACACGATAAAACCATATCCTGAAGGAGCCCCGACATTTCCGTTATGATGTGACACAAATACAGAGAAAGCTAAATATACGTTCATGTTTCGTCATCGGGCTATAGGATAAAATCAGAAGAAAAACGCAGTTAACAGTTCATTTGAATTGTTACAAACTTCACATATCTGTTAACGACGGTAATAAACCAGAACTACATTCACGAAAAAACTTAGACTTGATTACATTCAGGAAAAGCTTGCTGCTGTGCATTCAAATTCTTTCTGTTACCGTCCACTGTTTAAAGACGTAAATATAAAAACAGTCTATCCTACATAATTACAGCATTGCCTATTTTTTGTACGGTGTAAAACGAGATACAAGTTTTATTGTTGTTTTCGCTTTTGTTATCACTGTGCTGGGTTATCGTAAAGTAATTTACTAGAAGTCTTGTAAATACTGTCTCCAAGTAACAACGAAAATATAAAGACATAAATCACGCAAGAAATGTTTCAATTACCCGTTTGAGTTGTTTGTTACATTTCAGTTCTAATAATTCTCTAATCATATCCTACATCAGAATTCGTTTTCACAGTAATGATTTTTTCTTTGTAATTGAAATCTTCAACGTTCCAAGAGAGAAGGCGTACAATTTAGTTGAAGCAAGTTAAGCGAAGAATGCTATAATCAGAAGCTGATGGCATCCCTGCCGAGGAGTGGTCTTCTTTGTCAGACCTTTGTAAAAGACTATTAAAATTATTATTACAAGAAAATTCACCTTTTCGCCTTATTACAGCTACTGTGCCCAAAGATGTTTCCATCCGCTATCCAATTTCCATGACTTCTTTGTATATCAAACCTTACGTGTACATGAAATTTATCTTCTGATAAATAAGGTTTATTAATAAAAAAT